ATTGATCTACCATTTAAACCTATGTAAAAGGACCGATTAATAATCGATTATTTACCACAGCTTCAAATGGGAAAATATCGATAATCGATCATTCACGCCTCGCCACCAGTAAATAACCGCGTATCTCAATGAGGTTTTCATTGATGTCACGTAGTTTTTGCATAACAAGGAAACTCGGCAGCCATATTCTCGTCCTTTTTTCGAATCGAAATGCAAATCACGTGAATTGAGTGACGCACAGAGGGAGCAAGTCATGGGGAGTGGTGACGATTCCAGCAAGTTGCAAAATTGTTAATACTCCATTTAAATCCATTGAATATATCGATTCTAGGCGAGACAGGCTGCCCGACGTAGAATCGATTTTTTAACATACATTTAAAAGGAGGAAAATCAGTGTTGCCAACCTTCAAGAATCGCTGTACTAAACGGGAGAGGTTCAGTGGCGTGGCTTGCTTTGCGACATATCGATTTATCTGCCACTTAAAAATATGGAAAAGGATCAATAAACAGGGTGTTTGCAACCGTAACGAACACTTTAATAATCGATTTATTACCATAGCTTCAAATAGGGAAGTACCGATAATCGTTCACGCCTCGCCACTGGAGAGGTTGGACACGGTATAGAAACTTTAAACGCTTACATCGGAGGCTAAAGTGAGAAACCTCGCATCTCCATTGCAATGTTTCTAAATTTCCACTCCGGTTTTACTTTTTCGTGGAAAATCGAGCCAAATTTGTGGCTTGAAATTCATACAGGAAATTTTGCTTAAAGAGGAAAAAATTCAAGAGGGTTTTCAGGAAAATGCGTTGACTAATTTTCTAAAGAATAAAGAGAGTCTGACAGGAGGTTTGCAACGTCTCAAACGCAGATACACGGTTTCGCACTTTGGCCATTGATGTGTATGCTAATATGAGACGTTAAGGTTTATAAGTGATTTCGTTGGTTTCCTCGGAAAAATTCCTCTCAGAAACACCTCCTCGTAATGTATATTGTGACGGAATAACATCAGCATTTGCAGTTTCAGTGAAAAGTTTCATGTTCGACCCAGTGCACTGAAAAAAAATTCACGGCATTTTTACCAAGGTCCGTTGGTACCTTTACCATCTCACTTTTTTTTACCAATTGTTGGTAATTTTAGCTAAACAGACTGGTAAGCTTACCTAAAAACCGGTATTTTTACTGTTTTTCAGGTAAGAATATCACTTTTATTGGTTATCAATTCCTAACTTTGCCATTTTATCTCGGTAATTCTATCACAGTCGATAAAAAATATTGGCGTTTTTACCAAGGTCCAGTAAAATTACCGAGAAAGTTCAATAATGTTACCGAGATTTCTCGGTAAAATTACCAATGCCATAATTGGTGATTTTACCAAGAAAAAAACTGGGATCAAATAGAACCCTGCATTCTTGGTAATTTTACCCTTTTCTTAGTAAATACACCGATATTTTTTTTTTCAGTTTGAGGAGGCGTGAGTGATCGGTTATCGATATTCCCCTATTTGAAGCTGTGGCAAAGAATCGATTATTAAGGTGTCCGTTGCGAACACCCTGTGTATCGATCTGTTTCCATAGATTTAAATGGCAGATCAATCGATAAATCGAAAATCACGCCACGCTATTGGTTCGACCTCTTCCATCAGTGCTCGTTTCACTGAGCGACGAAGCTTCGCTAAATCAGGGTGCTTGGCTCTGAAGTGAAGTGGGTTGCTCCTTCAACTTGATCTTGTTGCAGTCTCCGAGAAGACGTCTTAATAAATCGCTAGACACTCTTTCCCTTTCCTACTGCATCACACCGCATATTAATGCATACTGCATTTCTCTCCCCGGTCGATATCGACCGCTTTCCTTATCCGATGAAGTGCACCGCTAGGTGAAGGTTCTTTATTACCGTGTATCGATTGGGTATGCGTGCATCGTGCATGTTAACCGATCGTGAACTTGAAGTGATTCGAGTCGGGGTCTGGTTCGAATCGATATTTTGGCATTCGATATATTGGATTGAATGGGCTGTAAAAACTGGATGAAATCGGTGACGTGGTGTGCTTCGCGATGTATCGATTGATCTGTCATTTAAACCTATGGAAAAGGATCGATAAACAGTGAACACCTTGATAATCGATTCTTTACCGCAGTCTCGAATGGAGAAATATCGATAACTTATCGATAATCGGGTCCAGGCCCGAAAACCGTCTCGACGCCAAAGCTTCGGTCGATGCGGACGCTTTGATTTTACACGCCTATTAATGTCTTTAGTGGTGTAGCGTGCTTTGCGATAAGTCGATTGCTCTGCCGTTTAACCCTAAGGAGAGGAATCGATAAACAGGGTATTCGCAACGAACACCTCGATAATCGATTCTTTACCATGGCTTCAAATGGGGGATTATCGATAATCGATCATTTACGCCTCGCCACCGGATCAGTGGCGTGGCATGAATGATCGATTATCGATATTTCCCCATTGAAGCCATGGTGAAGAATCGATTATTAAGGTGATCGCAGCGAACACCCTGTTAATCGATCCTTCTCTATAGGATAAAATGGCAGATCAATCGACGTATGTAAAGCACGTCACGCCACTGCACCGGATAATATATTTGTATTCTCTGAGGATGAGGAAATTTCTCCAGGTTCGAGCCCACAGAATCAGTAAAAGAGGGGGGGGAGAAGAAGAAAACCTTCAGAGAGGTTTTCGAGGAGCTTAGGAGCTCCTTTTGAAAAATATTGAAAGACAAAGATGCAGTAAGAGATTTACCTATGAATTTTCCAGACATTANTCGATAATCGATCATTTACGCCTCGCCACCGGATCAGTGGCGTGGCATGAATGATCGATTATCGATATTTCCCCATTTGAAGGTATGGTGAAGAATCGATTATTAAGGTGATCGCAGCGAACACCCTGTTAATCGATCCTTCTCTATAGGATTAAATGGCAGATCAATCGATGTATGTAAAGCACGTCACGCCACTGCACCGGATAATATATTTGTATTCTCTGAGGATGAGGAAATTTCTCCAGGTTCGAGCCCACAGAATCAGTAAAAGAGGGGGGGGAGAAGAAGAAAACCTTCAGAGAGGTTTTCGAGGAGCTTAGGAGCTCCTTTTGAAAAATATTGAAAGACAAAGATGCAGTAAGAGATTTACCTATGAATTTTCCAGACATTACTTCAGTTAACTCTTCTTTCAAAAGGTCCAGTATGACGGAAGTTTGCAACATTGCAATTTGGTATGCAGAGTTTTCTACTTCGCCGTCGGTGCATTTCTATACAGTTTTGCAGTATTCTTGACACTCATTTTGGTTACAATTTAGAAATGCTCGTTGCGGGAAAAGCGCCGAGATGGATAACATAACGACTCCCATTTTAGAGTGATTTGGTTTGCCCACTTTTCAAATTGAAGGCACTCCGCCGATATTCTTTGTAATTCACTAGTTTGTAATATAATTTTCGTTTAAAATGTTAACTCGTAGAGTGCGAAATCCCATTTTCTCAGCACTTGCAAAACCTCTTGATGCCTGTAATTTCTTTGAATTTTTATGTAAGTAATCGAAATACATGTATTTATTTCATCACATTCATCGTACTAATTGGAGCATACTAACTCAAAAGTATGAGTTAAAAAATAAATGAAGCATAGAAAATTATGCAGGAGCCTTGCTCATAAAAATGACCGACCTACTAATAGGAAAATAAACTAGCCGGTGACTGCTCAGGGTCAACAAACCGTCAACAACCGTAAATACACAATCATTGATGAAGGTGATGAAAATCCCTGTCTGTTGTTTCCAAGTCTCAATTAATCTCAAGTCTGCTGCGGGGAAAAAAAGCAGTGCTTATTTCGACCGACACATTAAGCATTCCAAACATCCGGTAGCCCTCATTTACATCAAAAAGGGGTAAAAAATTCTTCAAAAAAAGTAGAAAAAACACGTTTGAAAATAAAAATTTCTGAACTGCGACTCAAAATCAGACATCGCCGTTGCCAAGTTTTGAATTTTAAACGAACAATTTTTTTTCAATGTGAAGCTAATATCCAACAGAGCATCACCACTATGCTGAAGAGAAACGTCGCCGTATGAGACTTCAGAGGAGTCTATATTTTTTTCAATTTAAAACGGATTTCCCAGGAAACTTAGTGAATATTTTTCCTCCAATTTTAGATACTTTTCTTTGAAATTTCACGTAAAATATCTAAATATTTTAAGGGAATATGCATACTTTTTCACAAAATTCAATATTTTGTGGAGAGAAATTCACACGGTCATACGGTGATTTTTCCCAGCACGGCTGATCAGTGGAGAATGAACTATTGTTTAAAAAATTAAGAAAAATCTGCTGATCGGCTGCAAGCAATTATACAATTTAAGAAATGGTTGGTGTTATTGATGAATGACTTAAAAAATGTAATGGATTAAGTTAAAAAACCGAATTTAAAATACATCCTCAAAAATTCTAAAATTCACAATATAAGACACTTTTCTACGGTATAAAATATGTTCTAAATAAAAGGTAGAAAAAGTATTTATTAATTTTAAATAAGTACAAACTTATAAGGTAGTAGTAACTGCTGAAATTTGGATCGATAACTAATGCGCGTATAAAAATTGAAGTGACTATAATTAATAGATTCCTGCAAAAAGTGTCTGCACTACCGTAAAACTCATAGATGATCAAAATTTGAAACTAAACGGAAAACTTAATACGAATTTTTGGTAAAAAAAACAGTTGGTAGCCAATTTAATGGTACTACACTTCAACTTTCATTCTCTTAAGAGCTTCTACCAACCAAACTAGTCATCAGAAATAAATGTTCTTGGTCTTGTTTTGCTCGTATGGACATGCACAAAAATGAGCCCAAAATACGAAATTTCGAAAATCGATGTCCGGCTCCTCTTGAAGGGCGCATGAAAACAGCCAATGTATCAATACAATGTGTGTGGTTCCATCAATCATATTTTAGTTTAATTGTCTAATTTGATTTTTTTTTTCTTTGTGCAGCTCGAGAAACAAGCTATACGATTGGCCAGCAGGGTCCCATCTGTGTTCCACTCACTGCGATATTCATCCATAGGTCTTCCCCAAGAGGTAGGGTATACAATATCAAAACAAACTAAAGAAAATTAAATACATACGGTAATGATTAAGTTCAATTTCTGATAAGTAGTAGCTCACTGTGATACATTAAACTTGACCTCGGATGATGCAAAATTGTTAGACTGCATGTCCAGTTCAGGTCAACGACCAAACTGCTACTAGCAGTAGGTATTACGTTTTCAGTGGGTAATCAATTAATCATCATACGCATTAATCGTATTTTTATAATCAATCATTTTAATATCATATCAATTACATTTGCATAATCAATCAACCAGTGCATAAATCATATTTTTAAGGGTTTCTCATCGCAAGAGAGGAAAGAAAAATGATATATAGCGTCACGCCTACTATTTAAGAATCCTACTGGTCGCAATGCTAGAGTAGTATGTGAGACCATTAGAATAGATTATTTATTTCTTTAGTTTTTCCAGTTTTTTTTTTTAATTTTTAATTTTCTCTTCTTCATTTACTGAATTCCAATTTTGATGTGACCTCTCTGAGCCATGTGCTTGTTTTCACACTCAGACCTCATTTTCAAAAATTAGCTTTTTCCTCACACGCTTTTGTACATTTATTTTCCTCAATTTGCACGTGATCGTTACATCACTAATTTGTTCGGTGAAAATAAAGAATCTCAAAATTGTTTGTGTCGCCTTTAAAATTTGATTCAATGAAAAGTGATCCTCTCATCTCATGTTATAATTTTTTAATTGTTGTTTTGTGAAAACGTTTTACTGTATACTCATGTTAAAAACAAAAGAGTAAAAATAAACACGAAAAACACGCTTAATTGATTTTAATTTGTGGAAATGAAAGTTTGGAGGACCACTAGTTTCGCCATCTCAGTTCTATTATGTAATATTTTGGCCGAGGAAGAATTATTTCAGTATGTATCTATTAATTGCCTGCACGCAAAGGAACGGGAAATAACTAAATTATCTAAAAAAAAAATAAAATAATAATGAAAATTATCTCATCCACAATGACGGTCTAAATTTTGCGGTCTTTCACAAGAAAATGCATGGTGGTTTATTTAGTATCAAAGCTAACAAATCAAACAATTTTGCTCACAGAAAGTTGAACCGAGTTTTATTCCGACCGATTCAAATCTCCACCGTATTGAACCAATGAGCAAACACCCCATGGAACTCTTCAAAGCATGGTACGGAGATCACGTTCAGCTCAACCCTAACAACCTGATGGCGAACGTTCTATCTCTCTCAACAGCTACCAAGTGAGTATAGTTTCATCCTTTTGTGCTATAATAGATCACAAATAGAACTGATTAATAGACAGTGCCTATGTCCGAACGGAGAATCATCACGCAATTTTTTTAAGTTTTCAAGTTTGTAACCGATTTCATGTCTCGAGCATGTACATTTTACAAACATGCCGTAAATTTTTTTTAACGAAAGTTTCTCCTTTAGTAATTCTCTGTTTCTAATCTGTAAACTCTCTCCTTGTATTCTGTTTTTCTAGGTCTGGACGCGTAAGCAATAGGACTCTCATTCTCAGACGACTGGATGAGGACGGGTTCGTCATTATGACGGACGGTAGAAGCAAAAAGTCAGCAGAGTTGGTGAGTATGTTATTTGGTCAATGGATAAGTTCAGTGAACAGAATTGTCCGAGAGACCTGCTACAGAAAAAATACATTAATTTTTTAAAAATTTCGTATCTTTGCGATGTGGTAAATTTCTTAATCTATGGATGTTTGATAAAAAAAAAATCAAAAAATTTGAAAAATTACCTAACGAGAGAATAATGAGTTAATTTTCTGCTGCCTTCTGTCCATAATACTTGACATGTTTGGTTGGTCTTGGTTGGTATAAATACGTTTTATTGAAGGTTACTTAACAAAACACGGTCATGAACACCTCAAAAAAGGAAGTTTGATACAGAAAGAGGGTAGCATTACATCAAAGAAGGGCTAGAAAAAGATAAATAAATAGGAAGGGGGGAGGCGAAATTTGAAACGAATAAAAAAAGACATATGAACGAATTACACTGGAAAAAAAACACATTGAATCTAGAGTCCAGACTCTTAAAAACATCGACAAGAAAAAATACTCTTGTTTCAATCAGATTTAAGCTTAAATCAAGAACCAATCCTCTTAATTTGAGCGGATTCCTTTTGATTTAAGCTTATAAATCTGCTTGAATCAAGAGTCCTTTTCCTTCTCAATGTTTTCAAGAGTCTGGACTCTAGATCCAATGTGGTTTTTTTTCCAGTGTAAAGTCGGAGATTAGTCTGTTCAAAAAAAAAGCGCATTAAAGCAAAAGGCTGTTTGATAATAAGTTTCCCTATTTATCTTTTCCGTTTTTTGAGATTCAAGGATAACTACTGGTTATGGACCACTCTATTTGAGATTACCAATGATACCCATGTTTATTTGTTGATCGTTGCATCTCTCTGAAAAACAAGCAATCAAAATGTATTCAATTCATGGGTAAATGCGCAGACCACTTCTAGCAGTCAGTCAATAAGTATACAAAAATATTTTCTTTTAAATTTGTCTCAATTCTTTTTTTTTCAAGGCTGAAAACCCGTTTGCGGCGATGTCATTTTTATGGTTGTGCATGAAAGGACAAGCGTGTCTTTCCAGACAGGTGAGGAAGAAGTACTTCTTACATTTTTCGAGCAGACTCCTACTCTTCAATACTTAACAGGAGATTGCCAATCAGTATCACGGGATGTATTTTTTACCTTAAAACGGAAAATAGCAATTTATACTCTTTGAGCATTTCGATACCAATTTTGCAATTGCCATGCAAAATCATGCATTTTTCCCAGAAACATTGAGTTTAGAATAATTTACACACAGGCGACCACATTTTCACTGTGCAATGCTTAATTATTGATTGTAAGCCGTTAAGCATTTCACAGTTGCATAGTTGTTCCCTAAATATTGCATCTGAATTGCTTCGCCCTTCAAATATGAAACGTTGACAAATTTATACTTTCAAAAGCTTAGCCGATAGGGAGCGTTTCTTAATTCTAACGTACCTCTTGAATTTTAGTATTTTAGTGGCAACAGCTTAACGACAAGAAGGGGGAGAGGGGCCTAACATATTTACAATAGATTAATCTGTGATACCTTTATTTAATGGTTCTGATATCAAAGCACGGAGGACGATCAAAATTGTTTTTCTAAAATTTATTTTTTTAGCGGCAGTGTCTCGAAGTTGATGGTTGAAATTTTAGTGAGGGAGTATTTTCATCTTAATGTGCTGGTTACACGCTCAATTTCTATCAATTTCCGATCAAATGGTGACTGGTGCGCACCATCTACCATCAAATTTCTGCGGCCTGCAAAAATTTGATGGTAGATGATGGAGCTGTGGGGCTCATCCTTCATCTGATTTCCACATAACCGTGCTTATTTCATGCTTCTTTCAATCAACACGCTGTTTTAATTAATTTTACTCATCAATCCAGATAACTCTTGACCGCCATCTTGGTCATCATTTTGATCGGAATTTGACGGAAATTTGAGCGTGTAACCAGGCCACAACGGTGATCATCCTCCTCGGGGAACTTAAAAACGGGCCTACATAAAAAACACACACGCGCTTTCTGATACGAACGTATTAGAGCTTTCCCGCTGTTTGGATTGAAAATCACTACATCTCTTTTCCTATTGGTCAGGAAATATATACAATTTAATTTGTATGTGTTATAGCACTGAAAACAAAATCGGTAATGTGAACCGAATCGGTGTTCCATGTCATCCTAAATATTCGGTTTGTCAAACTGAACTTTCGGTTAGTGTAATCGAACGTTCGGCATTTATGACCGAACTTAGCCGCACAAGATCGGTTGCACTCACCGATAGTTCGGTTTGACAAACAGAAAATTCAGTTTGACGAACCGAATTAGTTGGGATCGGTAATACAGGATTGCGCGAAAGTTCTAAGAAAATATATGAGAATTGCGCAAAAAAAAGCAAAGAGATTGCACGAGTAGAAACCTTAACATTTGCTACAGAAATGCGCGAATTTAAAATGAAGATAATTTCAGGTAGAAGTTTGTCAAAACAGGAAACACTTGGAAAATAAAGCATTAGGTTAACGCTAGTTTAGGTTAGTTTGTTGACAAGTCATCGATGTCTTACCTCCTGATGATACATGAAGTGAAAAGATTGAAAAATGGTCGTGATTATAAAGAACTTTCCTAACTATTCTCGAAAAAAAAATTTAATCGGGAGAAACGAGGCAACGTTGGAATGTTCATAGCATGGCCCATGGGCCTTTTAAGTTCTATCATTCGATGCCGCGATTATTCTAACGCAAGTTCGAAGAATCGCGCCAAACACGGTGTGGTTGGCGTTAGACATATATTAGCGCCTGCAAGACCTCAGGAACACTTCACGCATTGCTTCAAACGGTGCGGTCGGCGCCAGCCCATAATAGCGCCTACAAGACTGCGTGAGTACTTCTCGCATTGCACCAAACGCAGTGCAGTCGATCAGTTGGCTTGAAACCCATATTAGCGCCTACAAGACTGTAGGAATGCTGTAGGACTGCGTGTCATCATCTTGACTTTCTCCTCCAGTTTTTACCATAATTAATAAGAAAATACGATTCTCATTGTGACGATTCAGAAACTCGGATGATATCTAATTTTTTCTTTTTGTTCACATTAAGAGATCATATAACGAACGAAAATATCGCGTCGAAATTTTCGATACTTTTATTTGAGATCATTCAGATTTTGCAGAAACTTTTCAGAAAAACTGTGTGTAATTTTTAAAAAAACATTTATTAAAAATAAAACATAAAACAGGTGCATGACGTTGCAATCAGAGATAAACGTACGGTTTCTTTTGGGTGCACTGGTCCATCCATCCATTCATCTCTCAAAAACTTGAACATGGTTGTTCTACGATTTTTTATGTGTAGTTCTTTTCAGAGGATGGCGGCCGCGTAGCGGCCATAGACCCCTAGTTCACTTTTGAAATGTCTATGAAAGCTCTCTGAGCCATTCCTGTTGCGACGGATATCTATCGAAGAGAGACATGCCCGTAAGTGAGGAGAGAATGAACAGTCGTCCGTGATGTAGTTATCTACCACAAACTATCAAGGTTGCCAGATTAACGCTCCCTTGTTAAATATTGCATATTCACGCAAACATGTGAGTCTTCAGTACCAGAAAAATTCACGCGATCCTATGCGTATGCATCGCCAAAAAGGTAAAAAAGGTGACATTCGTGCAATCCTATCGTGGCCGTTGGGATGATATGGAACACCGAACTTTGGTACATATGATGGAACTTTTTTATCAGTATACTGCTTGCTGTACTGAAAAAAAATCTCGGTATATTTACTAAGAAAAGGGTAAAATTACCAAGAATTCAGGGTTCTATTTGATCCCAGTTTTTTTCTTGGTAAAATCACCAATTATGGCATTGGTAATTTTACCGAGAAATCTCGGTAACATTATTGAACTTTTTCGGTAATTTTACTGGACCTTGGTAAAAACGCCAATATTTTTTATCGACTGTGATAGAATTACCGAGATAAAATGGCAAAGTTAGGAATTGATTACCAATAAAAGTGATATTCTTACCTGAAAAACAGTAAAAATACCGGTTTTTAGGTAAGCTTACCAGTCTGTCTTGGTAAAATTACCAATAATTGGTAAAAAGAAGTGAGATGGTAAAGGTACCAATGGACCTTGGTAAAAACGCCGAGAATTTTTTTTCAGTGTGCAATCCTATCGCAGCCGTTGGGATGATATGGAACACCGAACTTTGGCACATATGATGGAACTTTTTTATCTGTGTATTGTTTGCTGGTAATCATTCTTTCCTTCTTAATTAAGGTGTGATCTTAAATTTTAGGTGAGGATTGAAGGGAAAGTGGAAGCGCTGGATGAGTCCAACTGGATTGACATCTACGAGAAGGAACCGTTGTTCTGCAAAATTCGAGCTCACATTTGTAACCAGGGCCGAGAAGTGGAGTGGAGAGATCTGAAAAATCACCACGACCAGCTCTTGAAGGAGGTCGAAGAAGGCAATAGAGAATTGGAAAAACCTGCTCACGTGTAAGTTCACTTGATCAATGAAGAGTATCAAACGATTGCTGAAGTGCGAAACCTCGTATCTCCTTTTCGGATGTTGCAGACTCCTTCTGCCGTGCTAAGGAAGAACGCCGTATGAGCATTCGAATGTTACCAAATTTCCTCTCAGAAAATATCAATTTTTTAAAGAAAGTTATGAATATTTTTCCTTGAAATGTTCCGACTTTTCAAATCAAATTTCGAACAAAATCCTTCAAAAAATCGGAGGAGAAATATTCACAAATTGTTCTGACAATTCGTTATTCCTCGAAGGAGATTTGGCAACGCCTGATAGCTTATACAGCGTTCTCCCTTAGCATAGCAGTCTTGTTATGCTGAATTTTTCTTTGGAAAACTAATTAACATATTTTCTCGGAAACTTCTCTATGGTGCTTCTCTGTTAGCAGAATATTTTGTGTTTTTAAGCTACAAAGTAGGCTTGTTTCTTTGGTCCTCGTAATGGAGATAAGTAAAAGCACATCTTAAAATCGCGATGGACATACGTGGTTTCGCACTTTGGCCATCGATAATTTACTGTTTTGGACACTTACCGTATCATGCAGTAGAGGTAAACAGCTTTGAAAAAGGTTGAAGTGCATAAAAGCGTGATCCCTAGTCTTGAACAACCGCTCCTTTCAATCAATCTCTTTATTTCATTTGTCTATAGATTTCTCTACCAATTTCAAAAATCAGCCCGCAAAATTGTATCGTTTAACATTTTCAGCAGCAAAAACTTGAAGCTCAATTTCAAACAGTCTAATGAACCGGTTACAAGCAAGTGCGGAGTTCATAGTCAAGATTAACTTCTTTCGGAGCGCCTTCAATTTTTGTCATACTTCACGCATTGCCGCAAGGTTAAAATAGTTGTATCCTCAATGTTGTAGGATTTTCCTATCTACTCGTTTTGAAGGGCGAGAGGAAAGTGTGCATCTTATTATCCGTCGTTTTTTCTTCCGTTCTTTGAGTGTATGATCGTTCCACGCGCAAAAAGTAACCTGACGATTTTGGTGTTCACAGAGTCGCCTACAAGCTCCACCCAGACATGATAGAGTTCTACGAGTCGTTCGGTCTGACGATCGGCGACCGACTCCTCTACCGGAAACAGGACGATAATTCGTGGAGAGTGTCCCGTATCGCCGCCTGAATCCATCGACCCACCTAGCAAAGGAGCTCATCCTACACCGAAGCGTCGTCGACGAAGGCCCAAACGTCCGTCGACAACCGAAACCTTCGCCAACGATCCACCTATTCGTCGACGATCCCACTATTCTCTCGTGCCAAATCCACGTTCGCTGTAGCCAGCAATGTCGAACAGCGGCGAGGCGTGAATGATCGATTATCGATGTTTCCTCATTTGAAGCTACGGCAAACAATCGATTATTAAGGTGTTCGTTGCGAACACCCTGTTTATCGATCCTTTTCCATAGGTTTAAATGGGGAAACATCGATAATCGAAGCACGCCACGCTACTGATGTCGAATAACCTAGAGAGTGGGGTGAGATCGTCGTCTCCCAAACAGAAGAACGTAACTCAATGCCACGGTTGCAACATCGACTTAAAAGCTAATAATTTTACAAGAACATACAAAAGCAGTTTTGTGCCCAAAATATTTCTGGTTTCGTCGTTTTCCAGACGAGTTAGGTAACCCCGTTCCAGGGTTGTAAAATTTACTTAAAAATTAAATTTTTTACAAGAATGCACCTCTTACATTTTGTTGTTTTGAAAAATTTACTAATTTTTGCATAGAATTAGAAGAAAAATCAGTGAAATCCTCAATTAGAAATTCCCCAAATTCTCCCTGTGTAATTGCAGTTTGTATTGGGAACTTCGGAAACGTTGCAATGAAGTTGGGTTTTTTTCTTGAGGAAAACGACGATTTTTGAATGAGATCTGGAGAAAAATCTGTGAAATTTCCAATCAGAAATGTCCAAGATTCTCCTGGTAAAAATTCAATTTGCGAAGAGAGATTTGGCAAAATTGTAATATAGTTGCTTTCTTCTGTGAAGGAAATTACGAATTCTGCGAATAATTGATTTTACGTTGATTTTTCGCTAACCTGTAAAAAGTGCCATCGAATAAACGATTGAGTCGAACTGAAAAAACGCGATCAATACCATACTTAGAACACGTGAATTGCAGTGGCGTGGCGTGAATGATCGATTATCGATATTTCCCCCATTGAAGCCATGGTGAAGAATTGATTATGAAGGTGTTCGTTGCGACCACCCTATTCATTGATTCGTTTCCATAGGTTTAAATGGCAGATCAATCGATACATCGCGCAGTACGCCACGCCACTGGTGAATTGCGCAAGGAGATGATGTGACAGCAATGGGCCTGTTGCATGCAAGAGATACAGCCACGCGAATAGACTATTTAGAGGTTAAATGACACGAAAATTACGATGGTCACATTAAAAAAGTCTGAAATACACTCCTTACTGCGCAATTTGCGTTGTTAAGAACGCGCTTTTTCAAATTTCCCGCGTCTGGGGGCAGTTTTCTAATCACCGGAAACGAGCAAACGACAGGCTCGGTGATTTCCGGAAGATGTCGAGTCGTTGTTGTTGTTGTTATTTTTTCCTTCAGTTTGTTTGCAAATCCAACGTGATCTCTTATAGTGGTCCATATACGCTTTACGCAGTAACAAATCGATCAACTTTTAAATATCCAACGCAATCCTTCTACATTTCATTTCACGATATCACGAGCTCCGATTTTTAGGTTATGTTGTCAGTTTTAGTTGACCGGAAATAGCCGCGAGTTGCCGTTAATTGTTTCATTAGAAAACTGCCCCCAGACGCGGGAAATTTGAAAAAGCGCGTTCCTGACAACGAAAATTGCGCAGTAAGGAGTCTATTTCAGACTTTTTTAATGTGAGCATCGTAATTTTCGTGTCATTTAACCACTAAAAAGTCTATTCGCACGGCTGTATCTCTTGCGTGCAACAGGCCCATTGAACAAGAAAAATAGAAGGCGGGAGAATAAGGATTGTTGTTTGGACCAACCTAAGTTGAGATCTAGCCCCAACTAATTAGAAATGATCATTTCATCTGTGGTTGGGCCCCTAAAGTTAAGGTCCAGCCACACAGTTGAGATCTAGCCCCAACTAATTAGAAATGATCATTTCATCTGTGGTTGGGCCCCTAAAGTTAAGGTCCAGCCACACAGTTAGCGACGGCTGACAACACATTGCTTTTTTCCTGAACGATTTTTTCTGGCTATTTTATCAAAGCATCCATCAGCCAAATCTTTCTCAAATGGGCCAAACAAGTTAGTATCTTCTTGCGTGATCCGTTCCAATTGCAGGTATGGTCAAACTGACTTTCTGTGAATTGCCCAATTTGATTGAATAATAGGTATGAGAATTATGGACTTATTAACCTGATAGACTGGATTAATCGCCCCAAATCACAGTAACTGTTTCTCACAATGCCTAATTTCCTTGCAGTGCCTCAAAACATTTTTACAAGTGAAAAGTTAAAAGTCTGATATGTTTTTTAGATATTCCCCCTAAAAACCCAAGTCTGGCTTCTTCGTTTTTTTCGTTTTTACTATTCCTCGTCTTGTCTCACTGAGTTATCATGAGTTTTGAATTGTAAATTTACTAAAAAAAAATAGTGTGCAATTATCATAGCATTTAATTAGGTCTATAGTATTATATTCATTTTTGTGCCTGTAGGTTAGGTAATCTCTTTTTTATTCCTAAGTTCCAGTCTAAGATTAAAAGTGTAGGTAAAAATTAAGTCATACTTGCGTCAATTTTCACATACTTAAAGTATTTAAGCTTCCAACATGCCTCTTTATCACGATAAGGACCATCTACCTTCGCTTGGAGAGTTTGCATGTATTATCTCATTTACATTTTGATGGTGAAAGGAAAAAACAGATATCTCGATTGGATTGTTTCACAATTTTCCCTCGTCTTTTACTTACGCGTTATTTGTTTCGAAAGAACATGAACTCAACATTCTGTAAACAATTTTCAGAAAATATTTTAGAAATGACACATAACACGGTAAAAAATGAAATTGCAGATTTAACAATTTTGTCGGTGAAATAGGTGTCCGACATGTTTAAATGTAGATTCTGCAATAAAAAAATGCAAATTTAATCACCTCTTTGGTTAAATTAGCTTTCCACTATTGTAAACTGTACATGTAGAACTTGTCGGATATATTTTTTAGCAAATTAATTGTTAAATCAGCAATTCATTTTTTTCCGTGCATAATAACCTCATAGAAATGTTTTTGTCATCGATTATCTGTTATCCCATAGGAAAGAAAAACACCGCTGGAAATTTCAAATTTTGCAAATTGAGATATTTGTTTTTCCACTTTCATTGCACGCTCATTGCAACAACATAATTTTTAAAAATTGCATGAAACTACCTCGACAGAAAAATTAAGTCACTGTGCACCAGTTAAGAGGAGTCTGTTCTATAGTCATATAGGGAATATTTATGCTAAAAGGAACTTTGTCTCACGCAAACGCCGTACACATAGTTCCTTTTTGTATAGGTTTTTGTTTTGTATCCATAGGTATTAACCATTAAGTGTGATTCAAGTTATAGTTTTAACGTGCCTCCGCACGTTACGATTTTTTAGCACTCGCCAAATCTTGTGCACTTAATTTATGCGATATAATCCTAATTTATTATTTACAAAATCTCCTTTCAAAAAGTGACGATTTTATAGTATTAGCGACGTGTTTGTAACTTCTCCTCCTCCTCCTCCTCTGCTGCTTGCTTTTTCACTTTTTTACTCTCCTGACTCGAACTCTATTTCAAAGTCTTATTATTGTTATCACAAGCAACATTTTTCAATAAATTTATAGCCAGTAAATACAAAATTAATTTTAATTTTATCCATGACTCTATGATAATAAACTCGATCCTGGATCCAAGAACTTACCCTGTTCTTTTAAACTCGAAAGATGATTTTAGAAATAGCCTGGGGTAAAATTGCGTTTCCTGTAAAATAAAACAGAGGATTAAATACTGAGATTGAAAATTCCGTTTTCCGGAAAAAACTCCATTCCCAATTATCCGCACAGAGAAACGTTTCCTGTTTGGTCAATAGTAATCCCTTCTGAATATGCCGCAACAGCAACTACTGGTTGACACATCAGGAAATCCTTTTGTTTTAAACGTATTCCTGTTATTTCAAAGAGACGTCCTGCCGTTTTCAAGAAATTACTGACTGACTCAACGAGATTTCTATCGTGGTGTATTTAAAAGGATCATTCCTCTCAGTGTGGGTTTTCTTGATCCCAAACATTCTTTTGGTTGATCATTTCTTCTCTAGAGTGAAAGTGGAAGGAACACCCTTAAAATATCCTGTCGCGCATGTGAAAAAGAGATTACAACTATTTTACCTCTTGTGAAGCAGAAATTGCATCGCTAAAATAAGAAGGCACGCTTTCGTTCCTGTGGGGTGGGCATAGCAATTTAATGGAGCGACCATTTTGCAATCTTTGTGTTATCATTGCCAGATTGTGCTGAAAAGTCAGCACATTTCTCTATTTAGCTCAATGTTTCAAATCCAGATATTTTCATCTGTCATTCTTGTCAACCTCCGTGGCCGAGGTGCAATGTATGATGCAATTATGTCAACTTCGATGTGGCTAAAATTGCATAACCGACCATTTGAAGGCAAACAAAAAGGATTGCATTTTTGCCAGTATACTCAGCTTTTGCTTTTGTTTTTAAAATTTAGAGACGGCAAAATATCTTAGAAATACAACCTTCGCCACTTACATCATCACATCATCATCTTGTGTTAGACGTGGCGAGGTATGATGAGCATAAGTAAGTCAAAAGAGGAACATGTGCGTAACACTGAGGTATTTTTTGAATATTGGTGACCGTCTGAAGGAAAAGAAACCTCGGTGCCTAAAATTTCAAATTAGACCTAATAATATCATTGCATAGAAGAGCTGGTCTTGCAAAAATGTCATGGCAGAACAATCACCTAACGATGACAAACCGAACCCGCACAGTGACACTATCAATTATGCAGCTCAATAAACGTTATTTTGAGGAAAACTGATACAATCGGCCAACGTTCAAAAAAGTCCAATCGAAACGCAAGTGTCTGCCGTTTATTGGTACACGAATAAATTAAGTTGCCTGTATCTCATTATTGAGAATTATCACAGAGTGTTCTTCCGTAGGAAACTCTACCTCCAATTTTTACCAAACTCAATAAAAATTTCTCTCCAAAAATTTACCACCATGAACTTGATTCCCCTCCTTGAGAACGTCGTAACAAAAAAATCACTGCGTAAGATTTCCGAATCCAAATATCGGAGAAGCAATGGTAGGGTAAATTGAACAAAATTTTGCAATTTGGAACTATAAATTCTAGCCGGTTTTGAAAACAACGTAAGTGCCATTAGTTTCCCAACGCACATAAGTGTTTTTCTAGAAGACCCAGAGTTTATAGTTTCAAATTGTAAAATGTAGTTCAATTATTCGAGTGACTTTATTTTTAATTAAAAAGAATAATCACGCGATACAAGTAAAATCGTTGACCCCAACATCCAGTGTTGCATGCATTGGCGATTCTCACAAATTGGCAACACCGGGTTGTCCATTTAAATGCATGTAAGAAAGCCGATATTTGTGGAGGTGGTCAGCCTCACCTAGAAGCGATTATGCATAGAATAGCGATTATAGAAGAAAAACAGGGTTGCCAGCTTGCAAACATCGCTCCATCGATTACGATTTTTGAGTGCTCTCGACCGGATTGGGACCATAGTGCGCCGCGCCGCCGCGCTGATGGCACCGTGTTTGGCGCAATGCGTGAAGTATTCACGCAGTCTTGTAGGCGCTATCCGTTTTACCGCAATGGCCGCACTCTGTTTGATGCAATGCGTGAAGTATTCGTGCAGTCTTGTAGGCGCTAATATGTGTATAGAAGAGAGAGATCATAATATCTCCTCACCGCTCGATAGCGGTCAATTTATTGACACTATTAGTCGTACCTTTACTGTAGGAACTATCAAATTTATATACTATTGGCAGTAAGTCACAGAAAAGCAATAGATACATCGCTAAACTCTCATTTATAATATTCGAAGGGGGCATGTATTTTTATTGTTTAGATCTAATTCAGTGTCACGGCGAGTCCCAATGTTGACGCCACCACTCCACTCATTGCATCTCTGTAGGATTTAATCAAAGGAAGAACGATGACATCTGCACCAGTGGTGAAGCGTGAAAAATCGATTATCGATATTTCTCCATTTGAAACTACGGTAAAGAATCGATTATCAAGGTGTTCGTTGCGAACACCTTCTCTATCGATCAAATTCCATAGGTTTAAATGATGGATCAATCGGTATATCGCAAAGCACGCCATGCCCCTGATCCGCACCCGGTGATACCAGTGTAGTAGCTGATCTGTGACGCAGTACTGATATAGTCCATTAATTAACGGACTTTACCCATTTGAGAAATCTGACGACGTAGTTTTTGATCTCATTTTCAAACTTTTTGGGTTGCAGTCCATAAGCTTAAAGAAATCCATGATAAAAATCCACCTTCCGAATGGGTCGGTTGCGCTGGTCTCAGAATCGTGTTTTGATACGTGATTCTTGTAGATTAACTAAAAATAGCATGAGATCTGTCCAAAGAGCAACTTTCTACGTTGAATATCAACTAAAATATCGCGCTTTGAAAAATTCGGTCTATGACGTCATCCACCGTGGTAGTGACACCCTTAGTTTAGTTTCTTCCACCTTACTTTCATTGGTCAGGGAAGCACGCATTTGCACTGGTTACTCAATGTGTAACTCGGCGGATGAAAGCAAGGTGGAAGAAACCAATGGTGTCAATATCGCGGTGGATGACGTCATGAAAACGAATTTTTCATAGTGCGATATCTCGGTTAATATTGAACGTAGAAAGTTGCTGTTCGGCGGCAAAAATCAAGTATCCAAACACGATTCTGAGACCGCAGTGCAACTGACCCATTGACTAATCCCGTTCCAAAAACACAAACAGTCCAAGTATGAGAACTAAGAGGACATTTTGATATTTTGAGCACGACTGCAAAAAAATAACACACAAGCTCAAACATCGAAGATATCATAGGTACCCACAAGTACGCTTTTAAAAACCAACATCGACGCAATTTGTAAAATATGGAGTGAATTTGTGTTACTCATTTATTTCAATTTTTGTATTCATCTGTCATTATCGTATGTTATCTCTCACAGCCTTTAACATTTTTTTTTGAGCCGCAAAAATTTAACAATTCTTGTTTGGTTATCTTTTTAGCTTTTTTTTAATCAGTTATCTTCATTCAAACCCAAGTTAATCCAGCCGTAGGCACTGATTTTCATATGGACACATTACATCTATTTGATATTAAAAATCTAATCAGGAAACAACAGCCTTCATGAGACCTGTTTTTTCCTTCCTGGATATCCAGGAATGAAAAACTGGAAGCGAAGCAAGTCAAAAACGCTTTGATAGCGTTTTAGGCCGCGCAGGAGTAATGCATGTTGCGCGCCAACATTTTGCGGGCGAATAGAGGGAATTTGACTCACATGGTTCATACCGATGGCTGGTAGTGGTGCGACGAGACAACATCCTTATATCTGACTTACATAATAATGTATTTTTATTCCACCTTTGAGCCTAAAATTTGGGTTAATATTGCGTTTTGAAGCGTGACAGGTTTATCTTTTAGTCAAGTAGTCACCAATACGTGTGCTTCGTTGAGTGTCATTTATTTTTACAAAAACGACTGGTAATTTTTATTTCCAAACTTTCTCTGAGGCGTGTTCCACCGTGTTTCCACGATTCGCAAAAATGCTAGCAATCACGAAAGAGATAAGATAAAACTAATCTCTGCAGTTAAATTTGTCTTATTTACATATTTTATAAATTATTTTACAGTGCTTTGAAACAAGAACAGCGAGCGAAGATAATAAACCCCGCAATACACCCGTGCTGAGAAAGAACACCGCATGAGCCTTTAGGCGGTGCCAAATTTCCTCCGATAAAGTACGAATTTTCAAGGAAACTCTTGGGTATTTTTCTTCAAATTTTCAGACAATTTCGTACACAGTTCAATCTAATACGTATATTTGATAATTTCAAGGAAAAATATGCATAACTTACCGTATAAACGAGAAAAAAAACCACTAAAAATATGACCTGAAACTGTATGTAACAAGATTTATATTCCAACGCAGACTGCCTGAGCTCAACACTCCCCCCTCCCCCTCTCAGTTTTGTACTGGTACTCATTGGAGTTAAAAATATTTTACTCTAAGTGTAATTTTTGGAATTTCTTGCCTTATTTGATTTTCCCGCGAAATGGTGTGGATCCAGCACCATTTTTCCACTTTGTTACTGTCCGTGTAAATACATGTTTCATTCGGGGAACTTTGGCAACTATTAAAAGTTCATACGACGTTTTTCCTTAGGACGGCAGAATATCTGACCTCATTATTTTTCATTACTAGATTTCTACATAAAACCGTTTTCTTTCACACAATATTTACGTACTTATGGACTGCTCTGCCCTCAGATATCTCCAATCACAGATCTACTCCCCTACAATCAACAGAAATACAAACCCACGTACATGCGATGAATCCAATATTACTACCAATATTCTGAAACTCTTCACCTCTCTTAATTTAAAAATCTAAATCTATATTATACAGCTACAAGCAAAATCTTGGAAGCACTATTTCTGACGAACTGCCGGACCGATAAAGACGATCTTTACATGTATGTCATCTGTAGTACACTGAGAAAAAACTATGGCTTATAAACCTATTAGAGGTAAATATGGAACACCACTAATAGTAGTACCTTTACATATAATAATAGCACATATACCTTAGTTATGGTCTCTGTACCTTAATTAGGTACAGAGACCTTAGTATGGTTCACAGACCGAGAATCATTAGTTTATTTACGACTATTATAGGTGTTCCATATTTACCACTAATAGGTTTATAAACCATAGCTTTTTCTCAGTGTAGATGCAGATGTGCAAAAAATTATGAAACCCCGAACTTTTAATGTTGTAGGGCTTTTAAAGCTCGTGTCACTTAAGTCCAATGTTAATAGCGTGAGAGATATGTCGTTTCCGCTAGAAACGTCAAGGTGTGGGATTCTACCTGAGTGACTCGAATAAACAATAAAACAATGGAAAAGCTCGTGAAGGGCTCCTCATTCGAAGAGTTGAGGAACGGTGCATCGCTCAGGGTTCAAGGTTCAAGGTCCAAGGTATAAGGTTTAACTCAAGTTTTCCTGCATTCTTCCGGCTTCGATTTGTGGCATTGGTCAATTTACTTGATTACTGAATTTCTATTAATATTTACAGCAGATACAAAGTGAGAAGGCAAGCACTGCGTCGCGTCGGGTCGGACCAAATATTATTAACTCTTAACGGTCGAAATCCTTTTTTTTTTTTTTCTTTCTTTTCTTTTTTAAATTAAGTATTTAAAAATATTACATTACATCATCATTGTTTACAAATCTGAGTGTTACGTCAAAAATTTTGAAATCGATGCAGCTCGAACACAAAATGGTGTATTAAAATGGAAGAACATTTTTGCATATACATAGGCGTATAGAGCCCGCGAAGCGGGCCTGAGGGCGCGAGGCGCTCTCCCGAGGGTTGGGCCGCGTAGCGGTCAGGGGGCAGGGCCCCCTAGTTTTCGTATATACTCCCTTTTTCAAAATTCTTTGTAAAGACGTTAATAGCCTGTGACGCTGAATGTCTCAAAGTATACCAACTAACTATTTCCGCATGCCCTTCGTGGTGGTTCACCTATTACATGCGATCAATAAAGGAGAACCGAATGTGAATATTTGTGATGTAAACAGTGCAAATTAATCTTGGAAAACGTTTTTACAGCATTCATCAAATTTGTATTCTCATCACTTTCCCGGATGAGGAGAGTCGAAAAATGCTGATGAACAAATATCCTCTGGATTTCACCCGAGCCGGCTGCTTGCCTCACTGTATTGGATAATGCTAAAACCGTGCTCAGGATTGCATTCATTGCACATTTCGTCACTCCTCTGACGTGAGGGCGTATCTCAATTTCTACGTGAGCCCTGTTCTGCATATAAATCTATGCTTTTCGTGGCTCATGCGGAAATGGAAATACGCTCTTACGTCAGAGGAGCGACGATTTCGTCGTTCCTGGACGAAGGAACATAACTCCATCCCGAGGTTGCAAAATTAACCCAAACAATGACATTTTTTACAAGAATGTAGGTACCTGCGCAATTTTTGACCAAATTTTTTCTGATTTTTGCACGAGATCAGATGAATAATCAGTGAAATTTTCAATCAGAAATGCCCAAGATTCTGCAGTTAAAATTGCAATTTGCAAGAGGAGATATGGCAACATTGAAACGTAGTTACGGTCTTTTGGGAGAAAACGACGGTTTGTTTCTTTTAAATCGTTATGGCGAAATTTAACGACGCTCTCCGTGATTTTGTGCATGATTCACTCAAAGTCATGAGCAAAGAAACGACATTATCTCTTCCGGCGGTTCATGGAAAAAACGTGTGGCATGCGTACTAAGGATAGGGACTGTGATAAAACAGGACTGTGCATTTTTTTTAGACACTGAGGATACAGCACATACTGTGCCCTTCTCAACTAGCAATTAGAGATTTTTGTCGACAAATTATTTGATTCTTAAATGTTAAATTATGTAATTAATCACATCGGTCAACAATCTTTATAAGATATCCATATTCTCATCGGCATTGAAGATAGACCTCTTGGAATCATTCTTACTTTCAAGTATTATTGCTCAAACAGTAATTCAGTGTTCATTGTGACTTTTCATTCGATTTTCGCATGTCCAACCCGCGGGATGATTTGGAATTTTCCGACCATTTCTGTTATAGTTATTGTGAATATTTTAATTCCTTCCTCCGGAACGTCGCTTGTGACATTGAATTTTTACAACGATACGAGGACCGTCAAATATATTCTCAACGATACTAACTTGGCAAATCTACCATTTAAGTTCATTGACAGAGACATCCTGCGGAAGGCCATCTTTAGGGCCGAAAGGGGTTTATCCGTTTCCCGTGTAGGTATCAGTAACTTACTCACTTTTGATCAATTTATTACGATTGAAGACATACAATCAGCTATGAATTACTAAATTTATTTAAACCTCAAATCGCTAGTGGCTATCCAATTACGTATCTCAACATTTATATCTCAAAATGTACGCATATGATAGATATACTCAAAGAAATGTTAAGTAATCAATAACATTGTCAGAAATAGTTCCTGAGAAACTCTTACGGAATATTTCTAGTGAGTAAGCGAAAAATTAGAGGATAATTTAGGAAAATTACAATCGTTTAGCTTCTCTAGAGAGAATGAAATTTCTTGCAAAATCAGTAACATCTTACTTACATTAGTTGCAACACAAGTTACAATTTTTTGGATTTGCAATGGTAACATATTTTTTTAATTATCGTGAGGGGGTGGTTAGTTAGTTAGTTAGTATAATTTTAAGACATTCAGCATCTCAGGCTGTAAACGTCTTTACAAATAATTTTGAAAATGGGAGTATAAGCGAAAATTTAGATTTTTAAATTAAGAGATGTGAAGAGTTTTAGAATTTTGGTGGTAATATTGGGTTCATCGCATGTAAGTGGGTTTGTATATGTTATGTGTCATGCAACATGCATTCATGCTTTGATAATTGTGTCATAAAAATCAGCAAAAAAGCATATTTGATTCCTCTCCCATCAGACCTGTATCAATGGGAACAAGAACTACAAAACCGTCGATGAGCAAGAGGAAAAATTCTCATATTTCCGTGAGGATGTTGCTTTGAATCTACACCACTCTATCTGGCATATCATCCACCCGATTGACCCCCGCCACATCAGTTCTTTGGTTCCAACACACTCGGATAGGCGAGGGGAATTATTCGGTTACATGCATTCCCAACTTTTGGCTCGGTACGTATTACCGTATTGTGCGATCACTGAAAAAAAAAGTATCACAATCTCAACTATACTCCCAGACGATTTCGGTGCCAGCTATAAGAGAAATTGCACTCGCTATATATAGAAGCGTAAAGGCACCAGCCAGCGGTATAGTTGATCAAACCACTTTTATGCTGACCGTAAGGCACCAACTAGAGGTAAAGATGATCCAACCACACTTTCAGGTGACCGAACCATACCTTTGGCTTGCGCAACTAAAAATCAGCTAGGAGTATAGTTGAGATTGTGATACTATTTTTCCGGTTGTCGTTGCTTGTTTTTTTTTTTTTTTTTTTTTTTTTTTTTTTTTTTTTTTTAAAGATTACTATGATACAACCTATCACTGGTAATATTTCCAAATCACACATTTAGCATATTATTTGCAAGGCGACAAAAAATCAAAAGAAAAATCGATCAATAACAATAAATGACAATTACATGACAGTTGATTTCTTAAAATAATAACATGTGATATCGTGGTAGGGTAAATCCGACTAATGATAGATCTGATAATACTATGTACCTTGTGTATACGTGTGTGAGCGTCGTATTGAATTGAAGCTGTACTTAAACTGGCCTGATGTGTGCTTGTGCTCTTAAAATGCATTAGTTTGTCCTTATTCCTGGTTCCCTCAGACATGCTCAGATTTTCGGGGTCTATGTCTAAATCGAATGTCTATAAGGTAGAAACAAATCCCTGAAATTTTCATGCTTCCTTCCAGAAGTACACGATTCTTACGATATTTTCCACTTATCGGCCCCACACTGAAAAAAAAGGTCTCTGCGTTTTTACCAAGGTCCGTTGGTACCTTTACCATCTCACTTTTTTTTTTATCAATTATTGGTAATTTCACCAAGACGGACTGGTAAGCTTACCTAAAAACCGGTATTTTCACTGTTTTTTTTCAGGTAAGTAAACCACTTTTATTGGTAATCAATTCCCGGTAACTTTGCCATTTTATCTCGGTAATTCTATCACAGTCGATAAAAAATATTGGCGTTTTTACCGGAGTCCAGTAAAATGACCGAGAAAGTTAATAATTTTACCGAGATCTCTCGGTAAAATTACCAATTCCATAAATGGTAATTTTACCAAGAAAAAACTGGGATCAAATAGAACTCTGAATTCTTGGTAATTTTACCCTTTTCTTAGTAAATACACCGAGATTTTTTTTTCAGTGTGGAGCGTCGTGATCCAAGACGCGCACTTTCAAACATTTTTCAGAAGTTCCTTTTCCTTGTTTATCAGACGTGCTTGTCGTATATTTCAGCTACAACTTTGCACGTATCAATGAACGTATGTCAGAAGTATTTCCTTTGGAGGATCTGCGGGACAGACTCCCTGGATTTTACACTCCCATGGTCGATCATTCACGAGGAGTCCCTTACATCGCAAGAGAGGAGGGAGCCGTGATCAAGGTGAATCAATAATTTAACAATATTCTTGTGATTCATTCTAATGTCATTCATCATTATTTTTTGGGGTTCATTCCAAAATTTTGGAGAAAATACTTTGACGTAGCAAATTGGACGTATTTCTATCAAACAGAACTAAGCCCCAATTTAAGTTCCTTTTGAAGAATGAGTCCCGGATGGCGCGTTCTGTCAAACGGACCTAAGTGCCATGGAAAAGCATTGCGAGTATAGGACGGAATAAGCCGGACGCCCGATTCCGCCGCCAATCCAAGCCCCCCTCTACCTGCCTCACCCTATGGCGCTTAGGTCCGTTTGATAGAAATACGTCCAATTGAGAATTGGTAAGTAAAACTATAGTTAGGATTGGAATTTAAAAAATACAACGATGACTAACATCTAGGCGTACGTATCTCACCAGAAGCAAAAATAAATGTAATTTTGATCAGTTTTGGAATAGAGCTACATCTTTTTCATTCGGAAACGAAGAAATTTCTGATAATGATATTTAATTTTTAAAAAAATGCTCTTACATGTCATGCCACAGTGAATAAAGTCGATCATAGCTTTCTTTGGAAGCGATGTCTCTGTTACTTTGCAATCAAAAACACTATTCTGTAATTTTTACAAAGAACTTAAGAAATGGGGTCGGTCAAAGGTGCGGCTACGCAAAATTTTGAAAAATTGTAAACTTTGAAAAACTCTAGCCAATTTTCGGTACATTTACGAACCGGAGATAACGAATGCTTAAAAATAAAATTGAATTTCAAATAAAATGAATGAATTATTACCTCCCAACTAATTTTTTCAAACTTATACACTCTGAATACCTGACCCGATCATGTATACATATAATGAATCGTAATCCCCCAGCAGAAAAAATTCCGGTGCTTTCAACATATATCGTCGCTCCTCTGACGTCTTCTGACGTGAGGGCGTATCTCAACTTCCACGTGAGCCCCGTTTTACATATAAATCTTTGCATTCTGGGGCTCTTAAGGAAATTGAAATACGCCCTTACGCCGAAGGTGCGAAGATATATTGTAATGCGTCGCGGGTTACGATGAGGGGGGGGGGGGGATGAAAAGATCCAACGCTCTACGACAATATCACAGGAATATTTAACATTGATTGTGGAAAGAAGAAAAATACGGAAGTTTTTTCATAGTAATGCAACACAGAGTTTGAAATATTTGGTTTAGATCATCTACAGAACTAAATTATTGTAATTAAATCTTTATTCCACTGAATTTGCAGGATTTCATTTATGATGAAACCGACGGGACGAGAAGTAAAGTGACTGTCGAACAATTGCAGCTTTACATAGAACGAATACAAAATTCCATCAAAAGCAATACTATAAACGTATGGTATATTTATGTAGTTTCATTTTTCGTTTATTAGTAACCGCAACTTCTGAAATTATAGCACTATGTGCATATTCTAATGTTAACAGACCTGACGCCTGACGCATTGATTGCAATCAGACATCATATATTGTAGAGATCTCACATTGTTGAACTATTAGGCAATACTGTCTGGAGAAACGAAAGTTAAATCCGAAGATAAGCAAACTTTTCGCTCTATTGTGTATAATCTCCAACTGCAATGCCACGTGTTTGCTACTGTCTGCCAAAAAGTTTTAAAATTTAGGAGCATGACTTAAAAATTGACCTATTTTTTAAAAAATACAATTTTCCAACACTCCTCACTCGCGACGTATATAACAGGGAGCACATACATAAATTTCGCTCAGAGCGCACCAAATGCACCAGGTCAGGCCCTACAAATGCCAAAACATGACAAACAAAATCGGAGTATTGGCTTGCAGTTATGATTTTTGCAATTTAGGGAACAAAATTCTGAAACAAATCAAACAATTTCCGTCGAAAATTCAAATTCTGATTATCCTACACAGTGTGAGAGAACTCGCTTTACTAAAACTGAAGAAAAAAAAAGAAAAAAAAAAAACCACGGACCAAGTTCCTCACGTGCACGGTCATTCACGAGAGGCCAACACATATGCAACACTGGACTTTTTGTAGACATCTCAATCGTTGCCCCTGTTGTTAGAAATATAATAGCTTTACGGATTTTTACAGATAAATGGAACTGAAATAAGAGTGTCAAATAACACCTACATTGACATTTTAGGTAATATCGTTGAAGCCTGCAGCAAAACTGTAAACCGTGGATATTATGGTAACTTACATAACTATATTCATGGAGCAATATCTTTCGCTAGTGGTCCTGATAGAATTAAACAGGTAATAACATTTGACATATCGACGGTGAAGCTACCAAACCACGTATCTCGGTTTGCGACGTCGCAGACTTCCTGTCATACTTTATTTTTTAAATGAAAAACTACTTAACATCCAGTCTTGAAAATTTCTGTGATTTTTCCTCTTTGTGCGTAGAAAATTCCGTGAAAATTTCAAGGAATGATACCTATTTGGTCTACTTCAAAAAAATAAAATGTGAGCGTAGATTTTTAAACACCGCAAACGAGATACGTGGTTTGGTAGTTTCACCGTCGATATGAAGCATGTACAACACAGCGTTTTATGTACTTAGAATTTGACCTAACTAAGTGCATTGTTACATATAATATTGCGCGCAATAAGTATCTCAGGTGTTTCGTCTATTTCAAATTAATGGAACTTTTCCCATTTTAAAAATATCACCGATCTATTTTATCCAGTCAACGACCTCTATTGGCTTGATTTTTGCCAAAAACTCTATTTTCCTCCATAAATATTTGTAGCTTTTCAAGTCACTGTGAGTGTGGGGACGTCACGAACTCCATCTCAATTGATCTGACATTTGACTGAGGCCTGAGTTACAGTTTTTTCCCCCTCATCAAATGATCCGAATAAGTCTTAGCGTATGTTATATGACATCACATTTTTCTTGGATCAAAAGAAAATATGCACACAATATGGATGAAACAGAAAATTAGCTTCCTTCGTTCTTGATCCCTAAAAAATGTTTTGAGCAATGCTGACGCCCCCAACTTTTATTTACAAAACATCTTAAAATATGTGCAAAAATAATGATTATATAATTTCTTTGCATTACAGAAAGGTAAGGGTGTCATTGGTGATACGAATACTGCTGTGCGTGATCCTATCTTTTACCGATTGCATGCCACAACTGAAAGGCTCTTTCGTCAGCATAAGGACCTTCTCTTACCTTACAGCGTAGAAGAGGTAAGTGGGGGCCGATTGTGAAAAGAAGTACCTGAAAATCGGATATTATTATCGGCTTCAATGAGAAATCGGTCTTAAAGACGTAATCTCATGTTAGTCCTGTTGCTGAAATCCCTTCAATTCAAGGTAATTTTGCATCGATCTGTATTGACGACAATCGGCTTCAACGGCCGAAATATAAGGCTGGTCCTTGGAAGGCCTTTATACTGTATAAAGGCCTGTATGTGATTTCCACTGTATAAACTTTACCCAGGTTTACACTGGGAGTGTTTCGCAGAGCCTCGATTCGTGGAAGTTGAGTGTCACGTTTGTAGGATTGGTGGAGTGTTAGACGGACTGAAGCACCTAAATAATCCTTAAAATGCGCACTAGAAATAGCAAAGTTTGTGGGAGAGCAAAAATTGAACAAGAGAGTTGATGGCCGAAAGATTTGTATATTGAGCGAATTTAGACTTTAAAAAATTTACACTATTTAAAAAGATTAGTCACACTTGTGCGAGAAGGGCTAGATGCGGCACACAGCACACAATTCCGGACACATGCCAGGCATGGGTCAAGTTGGAGGAAGACCATGAGAAACGGGCAGCACAAGCTTTTATAAACTTGATGACGTCACGAGTGGCGAGACAGCAAGTTTATACGCGATTGGCTGGCTATAATCAGTGGAACTATCAGTTGCAAGTCTAGTCATTAATTTTATCGGTGATGGCTGGATGATAGAGACAAAAAGTGAGCTGAATCCAGCCATCCCTAATTACTAGTCTGAATTTTAAAGAAAAAATTTAAAAGTATAAGAGAAATGAGGAGAGATATCGTTGAGGTACTACGGTACACGCGACAAAGAGTCTTGCTCCTCAATTTGTTACGCTCTTCCGTAATAACTGTGGCAGCTACGAGCAATGAGATACTTTTCTTTTAAACACATACCTTGATCTCTGGACATTATGTGAAAATTTTGCTGGACTTCTAAGATTTTTAAGCCAGTAGAAAACTGATTAAAAATGTATCGTTTTCAAAACCAGTTACTATTCTTCTTTTTTCTAGCTTTCGTTTGATGGTGTCTTCTTAACCGACGTAATTATCAAGCCTGCTCAGGTCAATCACAGAATTTCCAAGTCTTTCGGGGATAATGTACTCGTCACTTTTTGGGAAGAAAGCATCATCGATATAACCAAGGGAATGTCCTTTGGGCCTACGTTTCCCATAAACGTATGCCATCGGCATTTGCAGCATGTGCCATTCAGTTACGAAATCACTGTAAGTTCTTGGGTGTATGTTTTAACGTTCATTACGGCTGTGTACTTTTCTATTATTTTTTAAGTCTCCATTTTTCAACTACGCACTTCATGTACTAAAATATGGTAAGCCTTTTTAGCATGATCTACTGAACCTATCATTAGCTACACCCTCTGATGTTACTGTATATCACACCTTCGCAAAATGCCATACTTGGTGAAATGTATTCTTTTGTCGTCTAATTATTCGACTTGCCTGTCTCGATGCATTAATGACGCAGACGGTAAATTAAAGATTATTGGTGGATACGTAAGGCAAGCAATCGAAAACGAGAAAGTAGATCTAATGTCAGTTCCCCATTTATAGGTGGAGAATTATACCGGTAAACCGTTGAAGGGAACGGCAAGAATTTTTATGGCACCTACAAATGACGGAATGGATACATACTTAAATTTCGAAAAACAACGTAAACTTTTTGTAGAAATGGACAAGTTCGTGGTCAACTGTAAGTATACCTCATTTCTTTTCCACCAAACTCTTATTGAAAATTTAATGTTTCAAAAACCAATGAAATAAAATAAAAATGTGTTGAAAGGAAGGTCAGGGCCGGATTTGGGAAGTGGCTACATGGGCCGCGGCCCATGGCGGTAAGTTTAGGGGGCGTAAAATTTTGTTATTTTTTTAAATGCAGGTATAAAGAAAAATCGGATTCAGAAAAAAAATACAAACGGGAAAAGGTGACAAAATCTCTCATTTCCTGAGAGTATACGTCTAATTTTGTCGTCTTTCTGTGATACAATAGACAGCACTTTTAATTAGTCGAGTTAAGACTAAGAGAGAAACCGAACAAGCAATTTGGCCTGGAACGGCGCGGCGCAGAGAGCTATGATGACGAGAACTAGAGATGAAAAGGAGAAACCCTCGGCGCGGCGCGGCGGTCGGCATGCAATACGTATTAGCGCCTACAAGACTGCTTGAATACTTCACACATTGCATCAAAGACAGTGCGGCCGCTGCGGTCAGCAGCGGGCGGCGTGAAACGCATAGCGCCTACAAGACTGCACGAATACTTCACGCATTGCGTCAAACGCAGTGCGGTCAGCGCGGCGCGACGGCGGAAGTTAAAACTATTAAACCGCATTTGTGTTCGTTCTTTCATAATTTTTTCGTTCATTTCTTATAAATGGAAGGCCTTGTCCACACAGAGATAGGTTTATGGAACTTAACTTTCTCGCAAAGTTCCGTGAACTTTTGCTAGTAGTGTTGACAGGACACTCGCAAAAAAATGTGTCCAACACGAGTAAACGCGTCTTATGCAACCCTCCCCCTCCGGCACGTTCACTTGATGGTTTTCATTGTGTTTCGAAACGAATGAGAAGGGGGCGGCAAAATACAGGCCGCCAATGGGCGGCAAGTAAGTAAATCCGGCCCTGAGGAAGATACTAAAAGTCGATTTAAAGAAAAATTGGTGAGAGAAGGGAAAAATCTGAGTTCATCTCCGTCTTTGACAGTCATCAATGGATGGAATTAGCCTCATCAGACGATTGAAAAAAATTGATCCTATTTGTTAGGAGCATGACAAACGGAGTGTATTTACTAAAATAGCTGAATGAGCATGTACATATTTTGTCGTTTGTAGCGGAAAATATTTCAAATTAGGAGAACGGAAAATTTTATGAACTTTTGGTTGCTAAATCCGGAAAAATTATAAAAGTTTTTTTCCGAATATGGACCAGTCTTCTGTGAAATCACATTTCCACCAAATAATTCTATTTTCCCGGTAAAACTTCGGTACGTTCAAAATCAACGTACCTCATGCTTGCTTTATTTTGACCGTGCACCTGTACTACTTGGATTGCATTTTGCGAAAAGGAACCAGAAGAATTGCGATGATGCTAAGATTGTGCATTTTCATCCTTTGCAATTAAATTACGGAAACCATGAAAAAATGTGAAAATTACATTGTAGTTTAAATTTACTGTTTTTAGCGAGTAAAATAGAAACTGTCAATGGATAGTCAGGTTTTTCTTCCAAGACAAAAGAAGTTGCACTATATTCGCAACATTGCAATGTTCCTGGTTCCTTTTTGCGAAATGCAATCCATTTATCAAACATACATTTTCATCTTTATTCACAGTAAGTTCTCAATTTTCTAGTGAAACCAGGCGTGAATTATATCAAAAGAGAATCATTAACATCCACAGTTGCGAGTCCTGCAAATTTAACGTTACATTTCCCTCCGAATCCGTCAATGGAGTGGACGGCTGAACAAAAGCTTGAACTTACGAGAGTCGTTTACAGGGGCTGCGGATGGCCGCATCACCTTTTGATACCGAAAGGAAGGTCGGACGGCCTAGGCGCTCATCTTTTCGTGATGATCTCAGATTATGGTAGAGACAAGGTAAACATGGTGTTTTCATTCATTCGCACAGTAAGTTTGTATAATATTAGAATCTTATACATGATGAGCGCGGATTTGGCAAGACGTTTTAGTTGTAAAAAACCCCGTTCCCGAACTCTTGACAGAGATGTTTATGGAAAGGAGAAATCAATTAGGTTTCATTAAGTTACAGATCTCACCGCTTTTTTATTACGCAAACGATCATCAGTACATCGAAGATGAACCGACATTACCGAATGCAGCGGTGAAATATTCTGCCGTGCTAAGGAAAAACGCCGTTTGAACCTTCAGGAGTTGCCAAATTTCCTTCGATAAAATGTTCATTTTGGAAGAAAGTTATGAGTATTTTTCCTTGAAATTTTCAGGAACTTCGGGTGAAATTTATTGAAATAGCCGTCATGCACGCTGGCCATTTCGATTTGCGTTGATATGTTTGCAGTAGTGAATGCATAGCTTAAGTGCGCTCCAGCCAGAAGTGTATTCAGCAAATGAGTTGTTTTCATAGGTTGATTGAAAATAAACAAGTGGTACGGAATAAATCAAAAGAATATGAACTATGCAAAACGATAATCCAGGTATCGGAACTTGGCTGTTTTGAAAACGTCTTCAAATGCGGCGTGATACCTCACGCGTTCCGGAGAGTTCAAATAGTTGTATCATTGCGCCTTAGGCATGCGACGGAAGATTACAATTGATTTAGCCTTCATGCACGCTGGGCTCGTCGATTTCTTTTGACATTTTTGCAGTGGTGAATGCTAGCTAAAGTGCGCTCCAGCCAGAGGTGTATTCAGCAAAGGTAGTTTTTATATGATGATTAAAAATGGACGTATTTATGCGAAAAGGCGCTATACGCCATTTCCAAACTTTTCAGTAAAGCAAGTTCGGCTAAAACCATTGGCGTTTCCGTACTAATGGACCGATTTTAGTTTACATTAGCTTGTTTGAAAGCTGAAGAGTTCCTCTAATTACTTACGTAGCCAAAATTACGAAAAAATGCATATTAAGCTAGATACAGGGGATTTTGCACGTATAGGTCCATTTGATTTAATGCGCTAACCCGGATTCCGAATTAAATGAAAAGGAGCTATCTCCACTCGATTGACGCGCGCGCGGCAGAATTTGATGGAAACTTGGCGAAACTTGGTATCGGGGGCATTTTTGGACGGGAAACTCGAATTTTGGGTCAAATTTTGAAAATTCAGAAATCCAAGATGGCGGACATAGCCGTATGGCGTATTTATACGAAAAGGCGCTAAACGCCAATTCCAAACTTTTCAGTAAAGCAAGTTTGACTAAAACCATTGGCGTTTCCGTACTAATGGACCGATTTTGGTTTACTTTAGCTTGTTTGAAAGCTGAAGAGTTCCTCTAATTACACATGTTGCCAAAATTACTAAACCTTACGAAAATTGTCCCTTAGGAATGCGACGGAAGATTACAATTGAATTAGCCTCCATGCACGCTGAGCTTGTCGATTTCCTTTGACATTTTTGCAGTCGTGAATGCATAGCTAAAGTGCGCTCCAGCCAGAAGTGTATTCAACAAAGGAGTAGTTTTTATATGATGATTAAAAATAAACAAGTGGTACGGAACGAAACATAATAATAGGAACTTTGCAAAAGGATAATCCGGGTAGCGGAATTTGGCTGTTTTGAAAACGCCTTCAATTGCGGTGTGATACCTCACGCATTCCAGAGAGTGCAAATAGTTGTATCATTTCGCCTTAGATATGTGACGGAAGATTACAATTATTGCGAGCTAAAGTATACCTGATAAATTGAAAAGAAAATATTCATAAGTTTACCCAGAAATTCGTGTTTTATCTAAGGAAATTTGGCAACGCCTGGAGGCTCATGCGGCGTTTTTCCTTTAGCCCGGCAGTATAAGCCATCAAAGGTAGCATTGCACCCTCTCATAAGCAATTTTCGAGCCTTTTTTTAAGTGACCTGTTTCCTTCCTTGCACTTGGAAATGGAACATTTTAACTGCACTTCATGGATGAATACATTTGAAAATTGTTTGTTAATCTGTGGAAAATGGAAAAGCACAAAAACATAGCCCGCATATACGAATAATGAAGAAGAGAATTAAAACATGGGTAAACAAGGCTAAAACACTTTAACACCCATGTTTTAGCCTTGTTTACCCACGTTTTAATTCTCTTCTTCTTTATCCGTGGAAAATAAAATCGAGCTTCCTTCCCATGAGATGGAAAACAGCTGAACATAATTTATTTCTTTCTTGAACAGTTTCCTACGACGCTATTTGATTTTCCTTCATTAGTCAAAGTAGGCAAGACTAGGCTCTCAAATACCAGAATAGTTGTATCAGCCGAAGCAGGGGCTTTTTTTTACCTCATAATCTCTCTGACTCTATTTTATTGTTATCATTACTTCACCAATACTGCATCGTATTTGTCATATCAAAAATTGTCACCCTAAAAAGATAGCTTCGGCCATATCATCAAACATTCTTACTAACTTAAAAATAACGATGATCACTTTCAGCATACTAATTACCACTTATCTCGTTTTAACTTTCAGGTGAAAGAGTTGGCTGATGTAGACCATGAATCTGGGAATAGCCTGTGTGGTTTAAACGGGAAACTATATCCAGACCGACGGCCAATGGGGTTTCCGTTTGATCGGAGGGCAAAAGCTTATGACATATTTGATTTTCTGACTCCTAATATGATTGTTAAGATCGTAAATATAACTCATGTTGAATAATGAAGAGCCAAGTCCGATAAACTTGAATTCATGAGGTAGCTTTAGCCTTTTTCCAAAGCTGTTTTGGAAAAATAATCCGTGTCACTGCATACGGAAAGAAGCTTTGGAAAGAACAGGCATGATCTGAATCAAGCCAAAATTCAACTGTAAAGTAAAATACCACTCACGCAGACGCAGAGTGAATGCATCATTGTTAGGCCATCCGGGAAATATTGTAACGAATCTTTTTTCCCCTTCAATCTTCCCGAAAGGATTATTAGTCGTCGTTTTCGGTTCGGGATCGGGAAATATTTTTTATGTGTTTACACACTAACCGTGTTTCACCATGACTTATCTATCATCATAAAAAAACTCTCCAGCCCCCAGATCAGATTATCGATGAAAATGCATATAATCAGTGCAAATTGCAGCTGACAGAATTGAAGGAGCTTTTAATACGCTATGTAAATGATAACACGGTCTCATAATATTGATCCTTGTGCAATGACTAACAGCGATTTTTCGAACACAAATGAAATAGGATTAGGAGTAAGTTTTCCTCCTCAAAATTTATGATTTTCTGGCTTTTAATTAATACGCACCTTGACAGTGAAAGAGGGAGGAGAGAGACCATCAAGTGGTAGCAAAAAAAATTGTCCCAGTGATTGATGGATCTAAGTACAAACTCATTTTTCGTACCTTCTTTCAAAAAAGGAAAAAATCTTGAAAGCTTAATACTTCCAAAATTTGGACTCTTTTTCTCCAAACCTCATAGCTCGGGACGAGGGAATAATTTTTATCTCAACCGTCTCAAAATAAACTTAAAATGCTCATAAATGAGCTTTTTTGTGTTTATGTTCAAACTTTTTTTTTTATTATTAATGAATAATCTTTGTCATACAACTGTGCACGGAAAATACAATCATCAATTTTAAGCTGCACAAAAGAACGTAGTATTATCACGAAAAAGAAATGTATTTCTTTCACAATTTTTGTTGTGCGGAGGAAAAAGTTTGTTGCGTTTAAGAGATGACTTATTACACAGAGTAGAAATTCAGTTGTGCCGACAGAAGTTTCTTTGTCTTAATCATTTTTTTTTTGCTCAACTCAACTAAAAGCATTTCAAAATTTTTCATGAAATTTCCATTATCCTGACTGAATTTTAGCTGACGCGCTAGTAGCTCTTTTGACGCGACAAACACATACCTCAGAGAAACAAGAGAACTATCAAGGAAACAATGTTTTTCGTTGCAAAATCCACCGTTTTTGTGATGGTCCTGTGATGATATCATCCAAACTTTTAGAGAATATAAAAAGGTAAAATGGACAAAGTATCAGAGAACCTAGTCAGAGGGCAATATCGTTTCGACAAAACATTTTGGACATCTCAAAATTTTAAATACATATCCCACGGCTCCGTGTTTAAGTGCTCAAGCAAAATATTGAAACGTTGTGTATGAGAAGGCGTCTTTCATATTTTTTTCAGTCTGATTTGAAGTTTCAAAGGCCACGCGTCGTATACTGTTCTGTGATTCTCTCCTTAAAAAGTCTTATTTTGCAATTGGAGCGTTGTTCGCCACACCTCTTTTAGTCAAGGATCGTTGCACAGTGGACCGAGTCAGTAGGAGAGGTCGGACAAAATTTGGAAACTTTAAAAGCTTACAACTCAGTTCATACAAAACTTTTAGATTTTAAAAGTGCTTCCATTGGTTTCCTCGTGAAATTTTCCTCACCGTAAAAAAAAAAAAAAAAAAAAAAAAAAAAAAAAAAAAAAAAAAAAAAAAANAAAAAAAAAAAAAAAAAAAAAAAAAAACATTGGATCTAGAGTCCAGACTCTTAAAAACATCGACAAGAAAAAGGACTCTTGATTGAATCAGATTTATGCTTAAATCAAGAACCAAGCCTCTTAATCTGAGCGGATTTCCTTTTGATTTAAGCTTAAATCTGATTGAATCAAGAGTCCTTTTTCTTGTCAACGTTTTCAAGTGTCTGGACTCTAGATCCAATGTGTTTTTTTCCAGTGCTCTAGAAACACCCCTAAAAGTTGTAATGCGACGAGTTAAACATAAAAATGTGTAGTTTTAGCGAAAAATGTCATGTCCGACCTCTTGTATAACAGCTCATTCTATTGTGCGTTGTGAAACACATGGTTCATGGTTGGTTCCCCGTTGCTGACGCGAGTGCTGCCGTGCTGAGGGAAAACGCCGTATGAACATTCGAATGTTGCCAAATTTCCTCTCAGAAGATGTTTAGTTTTGAAGAGAGTAATGAATGTTTTTCCTTGAAATTTTTGGACTATTTAAATCAAATTACGAACAAAACTCACCAAAAAATCGGAGGAAATATATTCAAAAAATTTTGCAGAAATTCGTGATTTGTCAAAGGACATTGAGCAAAATCTGAAGGCTCATACGGCGTTTCTCCGTGGCACGGCAGAGTATTGCCTTGCTTAGAAAGAACGCCGTAAAAGCATTCAGACGTTGCCAAATTGTTTTTGCTAGAACACAAATTTACCGGAAACCTCGTGACTAGTTTTCTTGAATTTGTCATACTTGGGTAATACTCTTCACAATCGATTCTAGAATACCTAACAAGAGGAAATTGCTGGTAATAGGAAACATATCAATACATATCGACGGTGAAACTACCAAACCACGTATCTCGTTTGCGGTGTCTAAAAATCTACGCTCACATTTTATTTTTTTGAAGTAGACCAAATCAATATCATTCCTTGAAATTTTCACAGAATTTTCTTCGCACAAAGAGGAAAAATCACAGAAATTTTCAAGACTGGGCGTTAAGTAGTTTTTCATTTAAAAAATAAAGTATGACAGGAAGTCTGCGACGTCGCAAACCGAGATACGTGGTTTGGTAGTTTCACCGTCGATATTCTATAAAATAATTATTTTGTCGGAAGAAATATGACAACATCCGCATGTTCATAGGGAGTTTTTCCTCAGTATAGAGTACGTTCAGCACAGCCTTCGCGTAGAAAGGCCACATGGCCACGCCACGGCCACATTCCCGATTTTACGACCCTGTTGTCCTTGATGTGCAACCCTCACTCTCGCTTTGGCCACTTTATCATCCCCCAAACTCGTCTTACAGGGGTGCGCTACCGTCATTCTTGTCTTACTGTCAGTAGCGACCGGTTACTTGTCTTGCGCATCAATTATTTACGTGAGTATTTGTTTCATCTTCATCTAAACTGCACACATACATAAAATCCGCTTGTACAGCGCTCTCTGGCGATCTGCGACACCTAGCCGCCAAAGTGCTGATGTCTCCTATCCTCCCAAAGTCCCTCAGGGAGTTGGCACTCTCTAGTTTTTTTCCAACCCCCTGTCACCACCCTTTCACTGCGCGTCCTCTATGTCGCCTCCCAGGAGGCACTCTATCAATCGGAAGGTTGATGTGTTGATGATCTAAACTCTATTTTAGGTAACTATCTATTAGGATCTGAACTATGACTATCCTCACTAGCGCATTATAATTCCTACTCATACTTGCGACCCTCATCTAACGAGCACACTCTTTCTCCACGAAAACGAATAACTTTTTGATGTGAAGCCTGGAAGTCTTTGATATCTTTACCATCATCACAGGGTTATCTTTACAGGGTTATCTTTTCACTTTGTTATCTTTACAAGGTTATTCAAAAGTCACGCACCACTGGCCGTAACTTCAGTTCCAATTATGATATCGACTTGCGGTTCAAGACGTTTTTTTTCATATCGAGGGGGAAACTTTTTTAGGTACTTTCTAGGTTTTTATTCCCTCTGGGGGAGGGGGGCGGGGGGCAACTCAAAAAGTATAATTGGCCACCCCCCTCATGGCCAGTGGTGCGTGACTTTTGAATAACCCTGTATATTTGTCCAATTCCCAATATTATGATTCCTGTTTTCCATTGCTAAGAGGAGAGATTGCGAGAAATTTTTGGCGCGAAGTATTTATTGGCGTCCCACACAGGCGCGTTTTTTCATTGCCTCTCGCGGCGAGCCTACGTGCTGCTCAGCACGTGCTCGTGCCCACTTCTTCACACCCCCCC